CTGGGTCCTCTGCAGGTGGACATGCTCCCCACCCAGGGACCTTTGGTAGAGGTCCTGAGGACAAGGAGTTCTAAAATGCAAGGGAAGGGAAGGGAGGGCATTAGAGTGAAAAGGTGAGGCCGACAGAGCGAGTGTTGCTGGAAAGTCAAAGCTCTGAGGCAACAGGGTCACTGTCCTTCCTGGAGCACCACCAGATGTTACGAGATGTTTCCTTAATCTGCACCTTTTTCCATCTCATCACTGGGGCAGGTGGACTGAGGTCTCTGCTGGTTCCTGACCTCCTTCTCTGGACTTACTGGGTGACTGCTGATGGGTGACCACCCTGAGGTAGCCATCTTTAAGCCAGTCCACCCCTTCCTTCCTGCTTCCTATCTGAGTATTTAAACACCCATCTCCTTTCTCTTTCTGGCATTACTCTCCTACCTCCTTCTCCCCATATCCATTCTGGTCTCTGTGTAAATAAAAGCCCTCAACTTGGGTACAAATCAGGATGTGAGTTGCTGGGCTTGGTCTTTTGGTGAGTGTGGTGGAAAGTTACTGAGCCTCAATTGTCTGGACAGAGTGGTCAGGGGCTCTGGAAGGGAAGGAAGGTGTGGGACTCCTTCATCTGGGGACATCCTGAATGGTGAGCATTGGGACGGCATAGCCTGTTGAGGACCATCCTTGGGGACAGCCTGGGGCACAGGCAGGATGGTGATCTGCTGTCTAACTTTGGGCAAACCATGCTGAGCCTTTGTATTGCTATGGCAAGGATTTAGTTGTGCCATCACCAGATACAGCACACCCGCTGTCTCACCAGAGTCTGGCAGCTGGGAAGTGAGTTTCAGTATGCAGTGTGATGACCCTGGAGCAGAAGCTTGGCTGTGGCCTTCCAGGGGCTCCTAGGCCTGTGAGAAAAACAGACATGGGCCTGGATGATGAAAGTCTAGGGGAGGCTGGCTTGGATCTGATATGTACCCTCCTGGCCTATTGTTCTATAGTCCAGCCAGGAGTTTTTGAAATTCAGGGAGTGATCAATTCCTTTGCTCCGAGATTGATTTGTTGTTTTATTTATTTTTAGAAAAAAACATTTATTGGTACATTTTAGATATACATAGAGATAACATGCATCATAGGGAATTTGTACCAGTACATGATATATCATTTGGATATGTGTTGTTTCCCAGTGAAGCCCTCTGCCAACCTCAGACTTACTGGAGGCAGGCACGCAACTCTAGCCTGAGGCCCAAGCATCTGCTAAAGCCTAGGCCCCACCACCTCTCACCACAGACTGGCCCATCCTCACTTCTCCCTGCCCCTCAACATACACATTTTCCACTAGGGACATCTCAGCTCTCTTAACCCAACCCAGTCATAGCCAAGAAGGACAAGGTGCAGTAGTACCGAGGGGCCACTAAGTGGTTATCTCCAGTCCCTTGGCAAACCCTGAGTTACAGTGTCTCAGGCCCCACAGAAGGCCCTGAGCTGTGTGGCTGCCAGGGAGCTCAGGGATGTGGAGAATCCAGGGGCCAATGGAGGAAGAGAAGAGGATAGTTGCCCTAGCTCAGGGCACTCCTGTGGCATGAGAGGGTTCTCATTTCCTTAGGGAGGGTCACAGTCTTGCTCCTATCCTAACTCTTGGATTTAGGGTCTACTCCTTAAAGTTGCCCACACACTGGCCCAGGGATCCTCCCTCCCCTGTCCCTTTCTGTGACTTTCTGAGACTGGGCCGCAGAGAAGCTGATGATTCACAGATCTCAAAGAGTTATACCTCATTTCTTACAATTCAGGTAGTTGAAGGAGCTGAAAGGGAACTAATTCTGATGGACCAGGGGCTGCTACGTTTTAAGACTTCCTGGTAAATAAATGTCACTCTGATCACTTAGTGCCATTGACAAGTCTCCCATGTGCCTCTCTTATCTTCTGACCACTGTGTGCTCAGACCCTGGTCCATTCCACTCCTGCAATGCCAGCCCTGAGCTGTTCCTCAAACATGATGTCGCATGCTATGCCGCTGTTTGGAATCCCTACAATTTTACCACTGCCAGCCTCCTTGCTGCAGATCTTTCCTCTCTACCCTGATATTCCAGATCCTCTCCCAAGCTTGACTGTTTCTCCTCAGCACTTCTCACTGTCCATACAAGACACTAGAGTATGAGCTCCGCCAAGACAGGAACTTTGATCTCTTATTTCCTCTTCTTTCTCCAGCACACAGACCAGTGTCTGGCACGCAGCAGGTGCCCAATAAATGTAATCTTGTCAGGATGCTCAAGAAAAAAGACCCCAACAATCATAACCCCAGGAAGGAAGGGACTTGTACTCAGTTTGTGTGTGGCTGAGGTGTGTTCTAGATGGCCTGAGTATCTGGTTATTCTTCCCACTGCCGAGAATAGGGACTGGGCCCTCGACAACCAAATCTTGAAAGGCCAAAAAAATCTAGTGCGACATTAATGAAGTAGGAAGTCAACTCTCCTGTTTGCACTTAGGAAAAGGAGGATTTAGGGAAGCTTAACAGAAAGGACATTGCAGCAAGACAGCCCAGCCCCTTCCAGAGTTCAACACCGCTCCTCCAGGATACAGCCTGACCCCTGACCACCACTGTAGCCTAGCACCAGGACTTCTTGCCAAAAGCAGAGAAGACCTACCAACGAGTCCCTTTGTTCCTAATATAGAAGCCAGAATGAGTCTGCTAAATTCAGTCAGATCATGTCAGCTTTTGACTCCAAACCTTCCATGGCTTCTCACCACACCCAAGTAAGGCTTGAATTCTTTCGTTTGTTTTTTGGTACTGGGGATTGAACTTGGGACCTTGTGCTTGCGAGGCAGGCATCAGAACCACTGAGCTAAATCCCCGGCCCTAAGGCTTGAATTCTTAACATGGCCCACAAAGCCCTACAAAATCTGCTCTCTCCCAACTTTACCTCCCACTCCTCCCCTCTTGCACACAGCATCCCAGACTCTCTGGTCTTTGGTGTTTCTTCAACACCAAGCTGGCTCCCGCATCAAGGCCTTTACACTTGCGCTTCCATGACACCTGCTCAGGCAAGTCCTATTAATAGTTTTTTTCTCTAAAATTTACCTTATAAATTAGGCACAGTGGGCCAGGGATTCAGCTCAGTGGTTCCACCACCTGCCTCGCAACCACAAGGTCCTGAGTTCGATCCCCGGTACAAAAGGGAAAAAAAAAAAGATTAGGCTATAAATTAGACACAGTAAGAGGTTAACAATTACTACTAATAAAATAAAGCAATTATTATAATATACTATAATGAAAGTTACATGAATGTGATGTCTCTTGAAAGCCTCAAGACAAATACTAGTATTTTCGCATCGTGGTCAGAAAGCCTGCTGTGGCTTACCTGTCACTATCATCTAGAGTCAGAGGGCTCTGACTGAAGGCAGGGCAGTTGTCTCCTAACCAGGTGTAAGCAGTCTGGAAAGCTTCTTAGATAAAAGAAGAGCCCAAGATTCGCCTGGCCATGTTGTCTGAATATTCCAGAATGTATTATTTTTGCTTTACAAACAGACTATACTTGGCCTGACCCACACATGCTTTCAAGTTACTTGCTCACGTCATTGCGGGTGTATTATTTGCAGTACTGGAATCAAATCCAGGGCCAGGCAAATACTGTACCATTGGGCTATATCCCCAACCCAATTGTGGTTTTAAATCAAGTTTTTTGCTGAGCTGGGGATATCGGTCAGTAGTAGAGTGCTTGCCTAGATGCATGAGGCCCTGGGTTCAATGCCCAGCACCCCCCCCCCAAGTTTTTTGTTACAAATTTAGATACAAATTTTAGATTACAAGTTCTTGGTAATTTTCTTTGTACAGCCTCTGAAGACAGAACTTCAGGAGGCCTTCAATTGCTATTTAGTAAGTTTCCTGCTAGTGATAGAATACTCAAAACAAAAGCTAAAGTCAAAAGCTAAAGGATATATGTACAAAAGTATGCAAAACATTGATGGAAAAGACCATCTACACAAAGGATAGGCAGTAATGGTGAGCATATAAAGTATAAGGAGAAAGCTGAGACATCAGTGGTACTAAAATCAATTTACTTCAGCATTTACTAGCAGCTCTTAGATTTCAGCAATGGGTCAACTCAGATAAAGGCAGTACATAGACACAGCGCAGACTCCACCTTGGAATCAGAGATCAACCTTGCCAGAGTCATGCCTCTTCACACAAGATCTGAGCTACTCAACCCTGGTTGTACCTGTCTGCCAAGTCTTAGAGTGCAGAGTGCCACTCTTTCCTTCCTTGGTTGGCTTCTCTCTTCTTTCCCCGATTGGCCAGTATCTCAGGACCCCACCAGTCTTCTTTTACCCTCCCTGTGCCTCTGCCACCTGGACACTGAGGGTGACTAGGGCAGTCACATTAAAAAGCTAATATCTGGGCCGGGGATTTAGCTCAGTGGTTCTGGCACCTGCCTCAAAAACACAAGGTCCCGAGTTTGATCCCTGGTACCAAAAAAAAAAAAAAAAGCTAATAACTGCGGCCATACTTGTAAGTCAGGAAGACCAGAGGCAACTGGAGCACACCAGGCAGGCTGAGATAATTTGAAATTAAAAAATGGAGAAGGAATGACTCCAAGTGAATCTTCTCAGCAAACATCAGCAAGAACCACTGTCAATGGAGGGAGGAAGTCATGAAGAGGACTCTGTGAGGGCTGGGGACAGTGTTGACGCCATTCAGCATTAGGGCTATTTCTTCATACGGCTGACTCTTCATATACTAGCATCCCATTCTTCTAGGGTTAAAAAACACACATGTAGGGGCTGGGGATTTAGCTCAGTGGTTCCGCCTCCTGCCTCGAAAGCGGAAGGACCCAAGTTTGATCCCCGGTACCAGAAAAAACAAAAACAAAAAACACAAATGAGGGGGCAAGGATTTAGCTCAGTGGTTCCTGCCTTGCAAGCGCAAGGTCCTGAGTTTGATCCCCGGTACCAAAAAAACTCTACACATGTGGGGAATACATGACACACAAATGACATCAAATTAAAGACAAGGTACACAAGTCTACATTGCCCATTTTTAATATTTTACTTGTGCAGAACTGGACTTTGCATTTAAAGGCACAGAAGGAAGAGAAGGCAGTTCTCAGAGCCTGAAGTCACAAGAAAAAGACACTGGATAACAACCACAGGGGCTGCCCCACTTTAGCTGTAGGAAAATAAACAATGCAATACTAAACTAGATTTTAATTTTTATTATATTTCCATGTGAAGACATCACTCAAATGTCAGCTGAGCAAAAGACTTTACAGCCAGATACCAAAGGTACATAGTTAATCCCACTTTGGAGTAAATCTCCAGAAAGTAAACGTTATCAGTGAAAGGGAGACTTAGGCACAAAATAAGTTCTCATTCAGAAAGTGGACAGATTTGAAGCAGTCAAACATACAGCTTTTAAAAGCAGGAATCTTTCATGACAATTTTTTGAAAGTAAACATCTGCATATCAAGAATTATTAATTTTTAAAAATGGCACCAGCCCCAATAGTACTTATGACTATTGATAAAAATTATAAAAAACCAACTCTTCTGTCCTTGAAAGATAGAAAACTATATTTTTCCTGTAATATTCTAAGAGAATCATTAGTATGTCCCTTATGTCTCCTGAAATGTAATTTCTTTTTTTTCCATATTCTGCCACTTTTAACATTACAAAACCTGTTCAATATGGCAATTTCTGCTAAATGGAAGAATACGCTATTTATTGAATAAAAGAGAATGAATGAAAAAAAGCTAATATACCCCTAATGGGACCATACCTATAAGGTGGAAGGAAAAGCAAAAACTGAGATTTTATTTTTTTAAAAAATCATTGATTAAAAACATCCTACATGTAATTTCTAATTTCAAAGCTCTATTAGAAATTCCTGATCAGTGGGCAGCAAGAGAGGGAAAGAAAAGATTTGAAATTTGGTAGAACAGAGCATACTTCTGACAACTTTATTTAAATAACACCACCCTTACCAAACATTATCTTCCTCATTGAAAACACTGATTGGCCAAGTTACATCACAACAGGATGAAGGTAAAAACAAATTTCAACCTAGCCGTGAGCTCAGTGATTCAGGACTGTCGCCTTGCAGAAAGGATCCGAGGAGGTACATGCACCCCACACACCTTACAAGCAGACCCATATGAGTGAATACATAAAACAAGTTCTCCACTTTCTTAAATAAACTGATGGTAAATCAGATGCCAAAGATAAAACTATGCCTTTAAAAACATCAAGCTTCAAAATTATATCCAGTGTTTTAAGAAACTGATTACTAAAATCATTTTTGAAATGAAATATTAAATGTATTTAAATCTGGGCTTTTCTGTACCTAATTGTTTCTCTTTCTCTTAAAAAAAAAAGTTAAAAAATATCAAGAGCAGAAACATGCTGCCAGGACGGAAATAATCAGAAATATCTTCGGTCACAGACCCTGGGCATCTCAGTCTTGTTTCATATTTTTCAAAGCCTGAAGTCTCTCTAATAGCGGAGGATGAGAATAATGCCACATTGAAAACAGCCAGTCAGAGACAGGGAATCCCAAATTATCTTTGTTTAGTTTGATCAAAGCAGAATATAAGTCTTCAGCCTTTCCAAGTTTCTTGGCAAATGCATCAGCTTGAAACTCAAATCTGCGGCTCAGGACTGTGAGGCAGAAAGAAAGAACCTGGAAAAGGAAAGCAAAGGGCTTTAGTGGGCTCTGCTGTTACTGAAGGGCTCCAAAGCTGCTGACTATTGAGGCCTGTGGGTCAGCATAAGAGAAAGGCAGGTGAATGGGGACTAGGGTGGGGTGATTATTATCAATTGAGCCTTTTGTGCTACAAGCAAACAGACCAGAAACAGATACATAAATACGAATATCATCCTTACTAAAACAGCTGCAGTATTTTTTAGTTGGGCGTGGTGGCACATGCCTTTAATTCTAGCACTCTGGAGGCTGAGGCAAGAGGATCACTGCGAGTTTGAGGAGTAGCTGGGCTACACAGTGAGTTCAAGGCTAGCCTGAACTACAGAGTGAGACCCTGTTTTTGTTTTTTTTTAAATGCAGGGCTTTAAAAAAAAAAATTGTAGTTTTTGAGACTCTGGCATGCACCAAACACTGAGGCAGGCATTTTATATGTTCTCCAGCAATCTCTTACTTCTGCTCTAAGGCTGAGGCAGATAAAGCTCAGAGACATCAGACAGCTTTCGGGAAGCCACACAGCTGGGTGTGCTGCTGCCCTTCTCAGGGACTCCAAAGCCAATGCACAGACTTGCCAGAGTCAGACAGAAGTCCTGGTAATTTGTATGCAGACTTCGGGCTGGGAATGCAGGCTCAGTGGCAGAGTCCACACATCATGTGCAAGGCCCTGGGTTCTCATCACCTACCCATATCTAAAGGAGACTGACAGTCTTCACTGAGACTATTCCAAAAAACTGCCACAGCCCCGATAGCCTCAAAACTCAATTTTCTGACCTATGACAGTATCACCAGAATAAGTACACAATTTATGAAGACTATTATGACATGGAAATTTCCATCTGAAAATATAAATCCTGCCAAGTGTTGTAGCACATGCCTGTAACCCAGCACTCTGGGAGCCTGAAGCAGGAGAATCGTGGGTTCACACCCAGATAGTCCAATTTAGTGATTTACTGAGACTCTATCTCAAAATAAGAAAAAATTATAAAGGACTAGGATGTAGCTTGGTGCAAAAGCCCTGGTTTCCATATCTGGTGGAAGGAAGGAGGGAGGGAAGGAGGGAAGGAAGAAACCAGAAAAGAAGGGAAGGATGGGAGAAAGAGAAAAAGGAGAGAGGGAGGGAAAAAAGGAGGGAGGAGAAAGAAAATATAAGTTCTGAGGGGACAAACTTCTCTATAAACTGAAGTACTTCAGGTACTTGAAATATTTCAACATAAAAAATTTTAGAAAGGTTAAAAAAAAAGCAGCTATTAATATGTCAGTAGCAGAGTTTCAAAATAGTCTGGGAATCCCCTAAATACTTTCTAATTTTGTCTGAAATTTCCTTTCAAATCTTGATATACTTTTTGGAGCAGAATCATTAACTGAGCTGGGCATGATGGCACCCGTTTATGATCCTATGTAGCTGGAAGATGATAGAGTGGTTGGTTACTTCTGTAGCCCTTTTTTATTTTGAGACAGGGTCTTGATAAATTGCCTTGGCTGGCCTTGAACTTGTAATCCTTCTGTTTCAGCATCCTGAGTAGCTGGGATTACAGGCATATACCACTATGCCTGGGTTTAATTTATGCTTTTTTGAGACAGAGCTGCACCACTTAGTTCAGGCTGGCCTCAAACTCTTGATCTTACTGCCTCAGCTTCCTGAATGCTAGGATTATACTGGTAAGCAAGTGCCCCCATACCTGACTTAGATAATTTTTTTTGTTTCTTCCCTTGTTGAGCTGATGATTGTCACTACTATCAGTGTGATTTCCCATGACAGTCTGTTCAGTTTTCTTCTTCTTCTTCTTTATTTGAGACAGGGTCTCACTATGTAGTCTAGGCTAGCTCTGAACTCACTATGTAGCTCAGGCTGGCCTCAAACTTTCAGCAATCCTCCTGCTTCAGCTTCCCGAGTGCTGGATTACAGGCATGCACCACCACACCTGGCCAGTTTTCTTCTTTAACTGCCTTATAGTGGACTGGGAAGTCAGGTAACTGAGCTCATTAAGTAATAGCTGCTAGACTCCAACTGAACAGGCTGGTCTTCTCTAAGTAAAGGTGGGAGTGTTGCTGCTGATTATCCTTGGTGACCTCTGCTTGCATTGCTCAGAGGTGTTTTTCCCCACTCCCCTTATATTCAGTAGTTGAGTTCACTTCCAAAAATACCTAAATAAAGATGAGATATTTGAGCCATTTTAGGCAGGAGGTCATAAAACAATCAGAGGAATACAGTCATACAGCCTCTCTTAATCTGGCCATACTTATACTCCATTATTATTGGTTTTGTCCCCTCACACAAAAGACTTCTGCCCATGCACTGGTGAATACATGGCACAGGGCACCTAGGACGTGGCATCTCAAGGGTTAGTCTCCATTTACTAAATCTCTGAGGTATGTGTAATATCAAGGTTTTCACCGCCTAAGTCTAAAAGTCTAATTCTCTACCCCCCCCACCCCAACAGCATGCAAGCATTATTTATTTGTGCTTGTATTTTCCTGTTACTTTTTCATTATGGCCTGTCAATCAAGGGACTAAAAGACTATTTCAACTACTTGTTAAGGCTGTATAGCTTTGTTGATTTCTTTTTATACTACCCTAAAGAGCTTAGATTTGCAACAGGCAAAGTGTTACTTGAGATAATTTCAAAGATTATACATTACCTCATTGTAAGGTGAAAAAATAAACTGGAAGATGATCAATAGTCCAATTAGAGTAGGTTGGCTATCATAAAAACCAAATGCAGCAAAAAGCTCCTTTCGACGAATTAATACAGCAAACAAGAAAAAACATAGGAAAGAATTCATCTAGAAAACAGGACATGAAGTTTTAGTTGTTGCTAAGCATTTCATTGTGGGATAAGTAGCACCAAAAAAGCACAACAGGAAATCACAGTGGAATTTTAAGTAAGATATTAGTGTGAACATAGCAAAAATTATTTAGGTAGTTGTATAGTTTCCTTTTTTTCCAAAGGGAAAATAAAATTTCCATAATGTTTAAATATCAATGTTAAATGTTTTCTACAATGGGAGGCTTCAGTTGATCTCTTATAACCGAAGGTCTGATGTAATCAATAGCAATGGGGTATTTTCTTTCCAAAGTTAAAGAGCTAGAATGATTCTGGATTTGTTTCATAAGACCACAATCAGACACAAGGCTTCTGACCCAACCATAATGTGAGGCTCCAAAGCAGCAGGTTTCCCTTGAGTCCTCTTTAGGACTACTGGAGATGTATGGAATAGTTAGAAAGATTAAAGAAAAAAACCCCAATCCTTACCAATACACAAGAAAGGGGGAAAAAAATTGAAAGCATTTACCAGACCAGAAACTTCTTCAAGTAAACATGGAGAATGAATACCATTCTTTTTGTTTTGTTTTGTTACCGGGGATCAAATTTGGGACCTTGCATTTGTGAGGCAGACACCGGAACCACTGAGCTAAATCCCTGGACCAAATGCCATTCTTTTAGCAAGTCAGAAACTTGGAGATCACACATAACACAATTAAGTGCAATCCTCCAAGCCATTTACCAAGTTAATCTAGACACTACTCTTAGCACAGGACTGAGAAAGAAAGAAGCTCACCAGGGGTCCAGCCTCTGCGACTCAGCCCCAGTCACACAGTGGGTCCATGTGACAAGCTCCAACAGAAAACTCACAATGAAGATACCCAGATGTATAGTTTGTCTATTTTTATCAAGTAACTTTTTTTTTTTTTGGTACCGGGGATCGAACTCAGGTCCTTGTGCTTGCTCCGCAGGCGGTGAAACCACTGAGCTAAATCCCCGGCCCTATCAAGTAACTTTTGAAAATAACATTTGGGTTGCTACTGGGCGTTCCTAGCTTGAGACTGAATTGCTGACCATGCGATATCTGAGTTGCTCCTCCTGAGCTTGATGCTATGTGGAACCACCTGGCCAGAAACTGGTATGCCCAGGGCATCCATCACCAAGTGAATGTATACACAAAGGTGTGTAAATGAAGCAAAGCAGAAGGCAGGAGTAAGCTAACAAGCAGGGGTTCCTACTCTAATATGGGGATTCCTGATGCTGTTTTACCCCTCAATCAATCTTTCCTCATGGGGAGTGCCCTAGTCACTCAATTGAGGAAAGGAAAACACTGGAGCCTGTTATACACACAACAATACAACATGCCACCTTGGAAGGCAGTAAGGGAAGCACTCTCAGCCAGGGCAACTTTAAGTAGACTGTCTCACTGTCCACTCAGTGACAGAGACAGGGCCTGAGCTAAGGACATACAGTGATTTACGGACAGATGGATGAGGGCTTTGGAACAAACTAGAGCAGTGACAATAAATCTTTTAGAGCTTTCAATGATAACAGTGAAATTACTTTGAAATGAGAAAAAAATTATTAAAAAGTATGTTAAAGGCTGGGAGTGTAGCTCAGTGGTACAGCGTTTGTTTAGTGCGCCTAAGGGCCTGGGTTTTATACTCAGCTCTGGGGGGGGGGGGGCGGCAAGCATTTAATATCCAATTTATCCATGCTTGCTCCTTTTGATTGTCACAGCTCTTACATCTGAGCAACTCTGAATGTGGTGACAATGATGCTGAAAACAATAAGCATTCATATAATAGTTACCTCATGCCAGGCACACCTCCAAACTCAGTACAGTATGACTCATTTAATTCTTAGTCCTATGAGGTATCATCATTCAGTGAAGGAAGAATGGCTGAGAGAAGTTAAGGAACTTGCCTGAGGTCACAGAGGGAATTAAGGCAGGGAGCCTCAATGGGAGTCTCTGCAGGAAACCTGGCTATGAAGTTTGTCCATTTTTGTGGTACCTGGGATTGAACCCGGGGATGTTCTATGACTGAGCTACACTCCCAACCCATTAATTTATTTATGTTTTTATGGTACTAAGGATTGAACCCAGGCCCTTCATACTAAGCTATATTCCAAGACTCTTTTTTTTTTTTAAATTTTGAGACAGAGTCTTGTTACATTACCCAGCCTGGGCTTGAACTTGTTATCCTCCTGCCTCAGCCTCCTGAAAAGCTAGGATTACAGGAATGTGCTGCCACCCTGGGCTCAAGTCTGTCTTAACCTCTCCAGTATATGACCTCTTGTGCCTGCCATACTTCTAAATTGACCACAATGCTGTAAAAATAAATAATTGTCACTCCAAACTTACCTGGCTAATAATAATATTTTTGACTGTGTGTCCCAACTTCCAGTGGCCCAGTTCATGGCCTAGTACAGCAAGCACCTCCTCATTTTTACATCCTTGTTTCTTAATCTGAATCAAAGAGTAAAAGGAAATTAAATTATCAACAATCTGCAAAAAGCTTGTACCTTCTAGTTTAATAATATCTCTTCATAGACTTTTGTGCTTAACAAAAGAGTCCCTAAACCACCATTCCACGTGAAACATGGGTTAAGCAATGAAGATACAATCACCCACCAGATAGATATTCCCTGACTTTGCTAAGATTATAGTCTATAGCAGTGGTGGTGAAACTATGCCATGTGTACCACAGTGGGCTGTTTGTTATCACTGAAAGCTCTAAAAGGTTCATCACTGGTCTAGAGTAATTTAGATTCAGGAAAAAAAAGGAAAACATGTAAATTTTTATCAATAATCAAATCAATAAAATCATATGAAGACCGTATTATAAACTCTTTAGAATTTTTTTTTTTTTCAGTACCGGGGATCAAACTCAGGACCTTGTGCTTGCGAGGCAGGCTCGGCACCACTGAGCTAAATCCCTGGCCCTAGAATTTTTTTTTGACAGCTCATACTTTTCTTTATAATGATTTTAAATTACTGACAAACAAAAAAATCTCCAAAAGACATATGCCAATGGCACTGTTTTATTTAAGCAACTGGCCATATTATAAACCCATTAGAAATTTTGTTTTCAAAGGTTGTATTCTGACATAGGGAATTGCTCGTGATATATACAATCAAATTACAATTATACAGAGGTTGGGCCAGGGATTTAGCTGAGTGGTTCCACTGCCTGCCTCACAAACATGAGGTCCCGAGTTTGATCCCTGGTACCGAAAAAAAGAGAAAAAAACCCAATTATACAGATGTGATCAAAATATACCTGAATCTTTAATTTAAAAATTATTACAGTAAAAGATATTGCCATTAATCTCCCTCAAAATACTCCCTGTCACTTCAAACACATTTATCCCATTTGCTTGCCACTTTTCGAAGCAGTTCTGAAGTCCCCTTTCATGAGTGTTTTTACAAGATGTGATTAAAAAATATGGTGAATGCTGGTGCTATGTGCCATCCAACAGAAAAGCAGGCTCAAAAAACACTACAGTGTGTCCTCATCCTTATTCACTGGATCTGACACTGTATGACTTCTGGCTCTTCTCCAAAGTCAACAATGGCCACAAAAGGTAAATATTTTGAATCAATTCAGGATATCATGACAGCCATGACAGTACAACTAAAGTCACCCACGAAAGAGGACTTCCAAAATTGCTTTAGAAAATGGCAAGGATGATGGGATAAGTGTGTTTGAAGGAAAAGGGAGTATTTTTGGGGGGATTAATGGCAATGTGTCTTTTACTGTGATACATTTTAAAAACTTAAACATTCACTGTATTTTTCAATCATAACTTGTACATTTGTTAGAAATGTTTTCAAAGATGTTCTCAAGTGGGAAAAAAACTAACAAAGTGTAACAAAGTATTAATAGTTATTTCTATATGGTTAGACTATAATAATGTAAAACTATTAGATATCTATTTTTCAAATTACAGTGGACTCTCGAGTTACAATCAGCTTGACATATGAACAACTTGGGTTACAACTGGAATTTTAGTTTTAACTTATGAACAAAGTCTTGAGTTATGACCCGAATGCTGGCTGCTTGTGCTTCCAGATGGTCACAGATACAGATTTAACTCTTAAAGAGTTCTGGAAAGAATATTACAACAATCTTTCTTGTGTGGGGTTAATAGAGAAATCCTGGGCCAATGTCTCTCTAAGGACACAGATCTGCCTGTATATAGGAGAGAGACATTGAAGGCTGTGTAGAGGAACCTGAGCCTTCAGTTGACCATCTTGAGTTACAAACAGCCCTGGGCATGTTGGTGTATGTCTGTAATCCCAGCACTTGGGAGGCTGAAGCAGGAGGATCGCCCTGAGTTCAAGGGCAGCCTGAACTACATAGGGAGACTTTGTCTCAAAAAAAAGGGCCGGGGGTTTAGCTCAGTGGCACTGTGCCTGCCTCATAAGCACAAGGTCCTGAGTTCAATCCCCAGTACCAAAAAAAAAAAAATTTAAATCTAATAGGGCTGGGGATTTAGCTCAGTGGTTCTGCCACAAGCACAAGGGAGTTCGATTCCCAGTACCAAAACAAAACCAAAAACAAAAACAAAAACAAACCCCAA